AAACAAATTCCATCACCAAGCACTTTTAAGCAGTCACCGCATAAGCTGGAGGACGCTGGAATGAAGATCAGGGTGTGCATTAAGGGGTGAGCACAGAGGTGACTGAGACTGGTGATGATACTGAGTTACTCAGGGTAACAAAGGTAAGGGTAGAGTGTGAAGAACTGTAGAAAATCCTTACGATGCTAAGAACAGGGGAATAAAATGGCAGATTAAATTTGGAGTGCAGACACATGCAAATTGACTCACAGACAAAACAAACCCAACTTCACACATGAAAATGAGGTGAAAATCACCACTCTGAGGTGAAATGTTTCATTCATGATACCTAGTTCTAAGAATACATTGCTCCAATGTTCAGGGAAGAAGGGTGTGTCAAAAAGAAAATCACATACTAGAAGAGGTACAGGACAAAACAAACATCACTCTGTCAGTGGAGAAAACCACAGTATAAATATGGAACTGCATGCAGTTCTAGATCCCTCACCTCCAAAAGGGTATATTAAAAACCTTTTCCTGGCTCATAGAAGGACAACAAATATGGTAAGGATGGAATAGTCTCCATAGGAGCAGACACTGCATAGCTGCTCAGTTGTGGTAAGCACCTGATTTAGGAGATACATATGGGAAGCATACAAATGGCAGGGTACCAAGAGGATAGACAGGGATGAACTCTTTACTATCTCTTGAATTGAAATGTAAGAGCTGAGGATCATCAAATCAAGTCAGAAGGAGACAGTTTAAAATAAAAAAAAGGTGGGTCTTCATATCTTCATATAACAGGTAGTAAACATGTTGTGGTTTGTTGCAGCAGCCAAGCCCATGCAGCTGTTCACTCACCCCCCATCAGCAGGATGGGGGAGAGAATTGAAGAGGTGAAAGCTAGAAAACTCATGGGTTCAGATAAAGTCAGTTTAATAGGGAAAGCAAAACCTGTGCACACAAGCAAAGCGAAACAAGAAATTAATTCCCCACTTGTCATGGGCAGGAGGTGTTCAGCCATATCCAGGAGAGCAGGGCCCCATCATGTGTAATGGTTACTTGGGAAGACAAATGCCATCACTTCAAATGTCTTCCCCCTCCTCTTTCTTCCTCCCACTTTATATACTGAGCATGATGTCACATGGTATGGAATTTCCCTTTGGCCAGTTTGGCCTGTCCAGGCTCCACAAAAGAATGCACCCACATATAGGGTTTGAAACTCTCCAAATGACCAACCTCTTGTTTGGATCCCTGTTTCTCTATTTGGACAGGAGTATGCTTGGCCTGCAGCTGGAGCTCACCTTCTGGTTTCGTTTCTGCCAGAAAGAACCTACATCTGAATCAATGGGCTGCAAGGCATTACCTCAACTTGTTCCCTTGAGCTTCTACTATGGGCAGAAGCTCTGCAAGAGAAAGGAAAAGAGGTTTGTGCTCATCATAGAGTCATAGAATGTTTTGGTTGGAAGGGGCCGTATAAATGATCTAGTTCCAACTCCCCTACCATGGGCAGGGACACCTCCCACTATCAGCAGGGCCAATATCACACATCTACCTAGCTTCTGAACTGCCTTTCTGATATGAATGTAATATTAAGCCATCTCATTCTGAAAGTTCTGAAAATTTGTACATTCTCATTGAGGATAATACTAGTTGTTAAATTTGTAGTGAATTAAAAGTAACAGGATTTCACAGATTAAGAACATTTGCATTTCTCGCATTCAAATGCCCAATTATCTATCTGTGCTGAAAAAAATCAACTGGCCATTGAACTTAAAACCCCTTTTGTTAGGAACAGAATCAGAGACCTGTCTTCATTAGTATTAGCAAAGTGCTTTAAGGCTTATCAGAAAAGGATGGTAGACATAGAAGTGCTTAGTAAAATGAGAGATGATTAACACATCAATCTTTTCCTTAAACTCAGATCACTGCACAATGATAATCATCTTTTCTAAATGCAGGCACACAGATGTTTCCTTATATAGATTATACTTAGGCAGCTGAGTATTGCATTCATACAAAACTGTCTGAATTCAGCTGTTCATGTACACAATCATGCAAAATAGCTGCTAGGATTAAAAGAGTGAATTACAAATAAATGCCCACTGAAATAAGAAGGATGTTTACCATACAAACACTCTAATAGCTAACCTGACTTTTCCCTAGTAGAACATTTCTACTACAGGAATTTAACCCATGGGCACACATAATTAGCTCTTTCACTTTAAAGTTGCTGAAAGAATGATTTGCTTAAGAAGATTAGTCCTTTTAGTGTTCAATAGAAGTACTGACAAATGAGCCTAAAATGATTATAGGGGAACTCTTTTAACACCATCTTCTGATCTTTTATTTTAAAATAGCATGCCTTTCAGTCAAAAACCTTTTAATCTGACCTTTTGTGGTTTTTTCCAAATCAAGGCTCAACTTTTAATACTTTCTGTATTCAAATCTTGTATGAGATGAGATGGTTTTCAAGGCTCTTTTGAACCACATTGAAGATGACCACAGTAGGCTCTTTAAATAGAACTTCAGGGCTACTTTATTTCTTCTGGTCATTGTAACTGCATTTAGCTTCCTGCTGCACCCGAGCATTTTACCATGTCAGTGGTGACAGGACAACTTTTTGAGCTGTGCTGTACCAACATTGCTTGAGTTAAAAATAGTTTTCCAGAAGGGAGATTTTGAAGGGCAGGTGGAAGACACAAAAGGTGATACTGAAAAGCAAAGACAGAACAAAGCTGTCTCAGATGGGTCATGGCAGGGAAATGGATTTTCCCATCAGTTTGCCTGCATACCATAAACTTGAGGTGTAGATAGAGGAAGCACTGTAACAGACCAAGCATTATAAGTCACCTACAGTGGCTCTGTAGCTATTGTTTGCATGACAGTCTATTTCCCCATATAAAAGCTAAGGATCAGATTTTGAGTTACTGATACAGACCTACACAGTAATCCTCTTTCTTTTTGAGGCAGAGAATTATCTGGATCTTTCATTGCTACACAGTTTTATACAAGCATTGAAATGATGTGAATTGTATTTCTGTATTTCTATTTTTCCTATTCCTGTAATTCTCATGCTTAAGAAATTTATGATACTGAGCATCAACTCAAAAATAGATACCAATAACAGAAATCAATTCATATTATTAACTCTTGCTCAGTAAAAGTGAGTAGACTTTTTCATTTCAATTTTAAGTCATACTGCCATCTACAGATTGAATAATCACTTGCAATACTCTGCTTAGGGATAACAGGGCAATCCAGGTTGGAAGAAGTCTCTGGTCCCTAGGTCAACTGCCTCCAAAACCCAGGGCTGCCTCTCACCTCAGCCCAGGTTGCTCAGAGCTTTATCCTACTGAGTCTTGGAAAATTCCTCAGATGGAGGCTGCACAGCCTCTGGGCAACCTGTTCCACTGCCCAACTGCCCTCACAGCTGAAAAGTGTTTCCTTTTAACCAGTATGAATCTTTCATTTCAATATATGCTCATTGTCTCATTCTCCTGCCACATGCCACTATGAAGAGTCTGACTCCATCTTCTTGCCAATCTTCTCATAGGTATTGGCGAGATGCTGTTAGTTCCACCCCAAGCTGCATCGTCTCCAGCTTGAAGAAGCCCAGTTCCTTCAGCATCCTCAAATGGCAGGGCCTCCAGTCCCCAAATAACTTGGAGGCCCATTGCTGAACTTGGTCTGGTTCTTTTCTTTCTTTCTTGTGCTGGGGACAAAAACTGAATGTAGAAGTTAAATGTGATCCAACAAGTGCTAAAAAGTCAGACGTAATACCTTCCCTTGATCTACTGGTTACGCCCCTGCTAAC